AATTTCAGAGTAGCATTATACCAGTTGAAGTTATTTTAATCTTTACAATTATACCACACTAGCAACAAGCATATGTGTACAACTACCAGTGGAAAACATATGTGTTTCAGCAATTTACTGTCCACCAAGTCATTCCATTAAGGAAGTACAGTTCTCACATCTTTTCTCCACTCTAGGTAATAAATTCATTGCTCAATGTTAATAACACCAAGAGGACGAGAACTACTTAAATCTATGCACTCGCACAATTACAGACATATTTCTACAGGCGAACCGACATACTGGCCAAGTGATATCAATAAAATCCCGGATCTTTTAGACTTTTTTATACTAAATATTATAGCAAATCAATCAACTAATATAAATTTATCACTTGGCTTAAATTCTGACAATTCTCCGATAATCCTAAACATTTTCAATGCTAAAAATCATACAGACTGGGATTTATTCCGCTACGTAATTTCTTAAAACCGAAACAGATATAAATAATACAATTTCAAATCTAAATACACAAATTCACAATGCGACACTTCTATCGACCACACAAACTATTAAGCATCAACTTCAAGATATACCAAACTATATAAAGAAACAAATTGCTGTCAAGAGAAAATTACGTAAAATTTGGCAAAATACTTGTTCGCCTGACAAGAAGTTCGAAGACAGAAGAAAATTTAATAATGCATGTAAAACCTTGAAAACCTTGATTTATGAACATAAAAATGAAACAGTAAAAAATTATTTAATTAATCTAACACACACCGAAGACTCTAACTATTCCTTATGGAAGGCCACTAAAAAATTGAAACAGTCGACAATGACTATTTCACCAATAAGAAAAAAAGACTGAACGTGGGCTAGACATCCCCAAGAAAAATGTGCCATTTTTGCTGAACAACTATTTGAAATCTTTCAGCCAGCCCCTCAGAAATGCGCAGATTACGAAGAAAAATTTATTTTCGATTTTTTCAATACTGTTTCCACATCTAACGAGCAGATTAAAAAAATTACTGTTTCAGAAGTTGCACAAGAAATAAGGCGTACAAAATCTGGAAAAGCTCCGGGACCTGATCTCATCACAATCAAAATGATTAAGGAGTTACCTGATAAATTGCTACGATTTCTGACCATTGTTTTTAACGCCATAATTAGAACTCAATCATTCCCTTCAATCTGGAAAATTGCCAAAATTATTATGATTCACAAGCCAGGTAAAGACATTCATCATATAGATTCATATAGACGAATTAGCTTGCTGCCTGTCATATCCAAAATATTTGAAAAGCCGACTCTAAAATGCATTAAATTTACACTTCAAAGCCACAATTCCAAATCACCAATTTGTATTTAGAGGGCAGCACTCAATCATACAACAGGTACACCGCGTAGTTAATGAGATCAACTCTGCTCTGCATACCAAAAAATATTGCTCCGCGGTATTTTTGGACATCGCACAAGCTTTCGACAAAGTGTGGCACTGGGGGTTATTATATAAAATCAAAAAGAATCTTCCGCATGCTTTATTCTATATACTGAAATCATACTCGGCTCACAGAATATATTTTGTACAGATACAGGACGCCCAGTCTGCAATAAAACTAATTAATGCAGGTGTCCCCCAAGAAAGTGTGTTAGGCCCAACGCTATTTTTATTATACACTGCAGACTTTCCTTGCCACCACAACACAAACCTTACAACATTCGCAGATGATAGCTGCATTATTTCTCAGCATGAAAGACCAGCAACAGCGACTGCAATGCTACAATCACACATTAATATAATAGAAAAGTGGTTTACACTACGGAGATTTGTAGTCAACAGTAACAAATCTGTTCAAGTTACTTTTACATTGCGAAGGAGTACATGTCCACCTGTTTACATATACGGTAACGAAATTCCAAAACAAAACTTTGCTAAATACCTGCGTATGTATTTGGACAATAAACTTAACAGGAAAACTCACATCCTCAAAAAGCGAGAACAGCTGGAACACCTCCGTAGAACTCTCTACTGGCTGCTACAAAGACGATCTAAACTCTCCACTTCAAACAAAATTCTCATCTACAAGGTTATATTTAAGCCAGTTGGGACATATGGCCTCCAACTATGGGGTACAGCTAGAAGAAACAAAATCCAAATCATTCAAAGATTTCAAAATAAAATCCTACGTGAGGCTCTCTCTGCACCGAAATACATATAAATCAGTCAACACTGTAAATGAAGAGATAAACAAAATAACACAAAACTATAAAACAAAAATAAGCAGTCACCCCAACGTCTTAGCAAACGAACTGTACAATACCACATATATTCACAGTATTGCAGTAAACGGAGCGTTTTAGGTCTGAATTTTTTACTGTGCTCCGAATTTCATGAAATTTTGGAAATAGGTTCATCTTACCCTCAAGTTCAAAAGTAAAGACAATTCGGGTTGCGCCATCACCCCCCGGGGGCATGACACCCCTTCTCAATTGTGTAATTACATTTTTCAAAATAACGTCGGAAATAGATTAGAACTAATTATAAGAAAAAATGTCTTTTACAGTTTTTCAAAAAAACTAATACTTTTCAAGTTACTGGACACTAAAGATTCATATATTCTTGGCGTTTTTCTTATTGTTAGTTTTTTTGCAAATATCTCCTAAAATATACATTTTAACAAAAATCATGTAAAATGAGTGAGCTATCATGCAAATAAGAAGCATATACGAGTTTTTTTTCTTTTAAATCATATGGTTTAATGAGCGCCATTTCCACCAGAATTAGAGTAATTCACATTCCATCTAGAATTCACTTCATTATAAACATCCTGATAGATTCTAGCAGATTCACTACTTTAGTACAAACTATTTTCAGAAAACTCACCATTTTATAATAACTTTTTTTTCCAATTTTTTTTAAAAATCGAAATTATTTTTATCATATCTCAAAAAGAATAAAAGATACGTATAAAAGCATATAGATGAAAATCAAAGGGATCTCTCTGGCTTATTATTGTTTTTTATTATTTTTCTTTCACACAAAAATTGACAAAGTTATGAATGTTTAAAGACTGCGCGGCCGCGCAAATTGGAAAAAAAAAGTTTTTATAAAATCGTGAGTTTTCTGAAAATAGTGAATGAATCTAAAGTAGTGAATCTGCTAAAATCCATCAAGATGTCTATAATGAAGTGAATTTTAGATGGAATGTGAATTACTTTAATTCTGGTGGAAATGGCGCTCATTAAATCATATGATTTAAAAGAAACAAATTTATTTTTTGCATGATAGCTCACTCATTTTACATGCAAAAAACTTGTAACAGCACTCATTTTAAAGCTTATGTTGAGCACTATAAAACCCAACTTCACCGAAATGCATAAAATGTAAAGCCTCGACACTAGATGGCTTTAAATACAACAATTAGATCTTGAACGAAATAAAAAACGACTTTGCTCTTTCAAACCTTCCTTAATATTTTTCCTAGAACACTTTATGTAATACCCATTTATTAAGATTTTTCTTGACATTATTTTGTTCATTACATGATTTTCGTTCAAATGTATATTTTAGGAGATATTTGCAAAAAAACGAAGAAAAACGCCAAAAATATATGAATATTTAGTGGCCAGTAACTTGAAAAGTATTAGTTTTTTTGAAAAACTGTAAAAGACATTTTTTCTTATAATTAGTTCTTCTATCGATTTCCGACGTTATTTTGAAAAAATGTAATTACACAATTGAGAAGGGGTGTCATCTCCCCGGGGGGTGATGGCGCAACCCGAATTGTTTTCACTTTTGAACTTGATGGTAAGATGAACCTAATTCTAAAATTTCATCCAATTCGGAGCACAGTAAAAAAATTCAGAGAACATACCCTTTTTTCCTCTCCCTTTACTGCACTACAGATTAAAAAGACAATCATTACTCAAATTAACATAATAAGTAAAGCTAATTTATGTAGGAATTATTTATATGTATATATAATTATAGTCATATATTGTTCATGCATGTTTAGACTTAAAATGGGTTTTAGTATCTATATTTATTAAATTTTGCCATAATTGTTACATATCAAACGTCAAAGGTTTACTACTGGGTATCCTTTTAAGCATCCATTTTTACTACCAACAATCTAATAACTGAATGTCTCTTGGAGACAGATTGTAATTTATATGGAAGTAAGAAAAAGGTACTGTTGTAGAAGTGATGCTGACAACTAAGACTGCTTGGAAGACCATAGACAGATTTTCGAGAGATGTGCCAAATGACTTGCAATCTATGGAAAGAGAAAGAGCGAATGGGACTTCGTTCATTTAAATGATAAGTATAAAATCAGTGCAAGATTGATAACGTTCTAGATCCTTACTTTTTGCGGAGGTTTTAGTCGGTATTGTAACCAGGCGGTATTGAATCCAACATACCCAGACAAAAAACAATTTGGAATGCACACCTACATCCATATTTTTTCTAAGGTATTCCAAAATATTCAGAAACCTCTTAAAAGTAAAGATGAGAAAAAATTTTCCATTTCGATTTTTGGACGATTACAATATTGACGGGATGTTCATTAAAGGTATAACGTCGATTATAAAAAAACATATATAATTAATAATCTAAATTAATTTTGGCTTTTCGGTAAAAAATTAATTGTTTTCTTTAAAATGGAGTTTCTATGTTCAAAACTATAATAATTTATTACTTATTATTATTTGTTTTATTAAATAGTTTTATACTTCTGCTTATTTGTAGTTTATAGACAAATTTATTTGTAACAATGAATTTTATGTTAATGTATCGAAAATGAATTTCATAACTATTTTATATTATTAGGTTGTATTTATTATTTTTCAGGTAAAATGCGATTTCAGTTTCGACCTTTATTATATTTTTGCATTCGCACAATGAAACCTGCCTAATATGGTTTATGTAAATTCATAATCTGATATTTTGAAGATATAATATTAGAGTTCTTGTTAAAAACATTTATCGAAAAAAAAATTAAATATTTAAGACTTACTTTTTGCCTTTAAATTCATTCATATGTCCAGACATAATTGCAGCAAGTCCTGCTCCACCTGCACCTTCCACAACACATTTTTCTAATTCCACTAAGCGCAGGATGGCTAATGCTATCCATTCTTCACGCACCTGAATATTATTTATATTACATAAACAATATGTTTTATATATCTTAGAATTATATCTACACGATGAAGTAGAAGTTCAAAAACCATATACATACAACAATCATTTTGTCTATTAATGGCTTAGCAGTCGCATAAGCATTATAACCAACAGTTGGGACAGCCAATCCATCTGCCAATGTAGGTAAAATAGGGGTATGCACTGGACCACCATTTTTCAAAGCACGCGAAAAACTGGGACATTTTTCAGACTCTACACCCTATAATATAAGGAAAAAAATATGTTAACTGTATCAAAATGCTTATTTCTAATCACGATATATATATATATATATATATATATATATATATTTGCAACATACTATTCTAAAGGTGACTAAATGAGCTACAGCATTCTCTATTATAATTTTACTGTAACTTCTCTTATTGTGATACGGCGAAGGGTTAAAGGACTCGAAAGACCTGTGGTTGAACTGCCGCGCACTCCTTAAACAATCATACCTCTTTCAATATTTGTGTAACACAAAAATAATAACAATGATTAGTCAGAAAAATACCTTGAATTTTCATATATATATATCTTGATATTGTTTGTTTCGACTTTGAAACATTATATGATACAGTTTTGCAGCCACAAGTCGAAAAATAAAACCAGAATATTATTTATTTTTCGACTTGTGGCTGCAAAACTGTATCATATATATATATATATATATATATATATATATATATATATGTTTATATATATTTTATACGTATTTTACACGATATTTACACTTTTATACGTATTTTATTTTATTTATACGAAGAAATTAGTTGTTTTTTTAAATGGATTTTTTTTCATAAAATTATGAGTTTTTTGAAAATCCTTTGTACTTAAGTTGTGGTATTTTCTAGAATACATCTAGATCTCTTAAACCAAGTTAATTTTAGATGGAACACGATTATTTTTAATTTTGGTGGAAATGCACTCATAAATTATTTGATTTAAATGAAAAAAACATTGTATGCATGTTTTATTTGCATGATAGCTCACTCATTTTACACGCAGAAGTACTCATTTTAAAGCTTATTTTGAGCACTATAAAAAGCCATTTTCATATATAGCTTAATATTGTTCCTAGAACACTATAAGATAGCGATTTATTAAGATTTTTATTGATATAATTTTGTTCATTACATGATTTTCGATAAAATGTATATTTTTGAAGATATTAGCAAAAAACAATAAAAAAACGCAAAAAAGAAACAAATTTTCAGTAGGCAGTAACTTGAATAGCATTTGTTTTTTTGAAAAACATCATGAAACATTTTTCTCTTATAAATGTTCTTTTATTGATACCTTACGTTATTTTGAAAAAAGTAAAATTGGGGGAATGTGGCTTAAAAAAGGGATGTGGTAAAAGAGTCTAAATTATTTTCACTTTTGAACTTGAGAGTAAGATGAACCTGATTCCAAAATTCCAAACGAATTGGAAAACAGTAAGAAAAAAATCAGACTCAAACCTCTCCATTGCCTTGAGTAAATATTCCGTATCTAATGCCAAATATATGAATTTTTGATTCAATGAGACTTCTAAATAATTTTTTGAATAAGTATTTTTTTTGTATTGTGACTAAGTAAAGTAAGGCAAAACGTCAGACGCATGCGCAGACTGCATCACCTGTCAGACATATGTTGACTGTAAATCTTATTTTATTTTATTTTTTGGCACTTGTCAGCTGCTTTTCGGCAATAATAATGTCGACATTACATTTTTCTTATCCATAATCATAAATATATTATGTTTTGATATTGTCTTAGCTTATATGTTAATGCAAATAACAGTCTTCACTTGTTTTCAATGTCAAACTATGCCTTAAATATTTTCAAGGTCAAACAATGATAAGCGTTTCTTTGTAATTTTTTCCATTCATTTCTACAATATAACTATATTTCTATGAATCTAAAAATTCTAGAAAATTTCTCGAACAAACTTCAGGAAGATTCATGAAAATCCGAATTATAGTTTAGGAGGATTAACCATTCATACATTGTTACAGAAGAATTTTATATATAAGATATATATATATATATATATATTTATATATATCTTATATATAGAAATCTTCTGTCCGGGTGTTAGTCGAGATCCTCCTATATGATTATTTGGATATTGATAAACCTTTCTGAAGATTGTTAAAGAAATTTGTTGGGATGTAAATGATTATAAAAATTTAGTAATATTGTAGAAATAGACGGAAAAAACTGCAAAAAAACGATATGTTATTGTTTGACATTGAAAATATTTTGACAAATGGAAACTGTCATCTGCTGAAAAGTTCAATTCACTTTGAGTCGGGATAATATTAAAATATAATAAATTCATGATTATAAATAAGAAAATGTAATAGAGCTGTCAAGAACCGTCATTTTCAAGAACCGGTCCCAAAGTCCAAAAAGGACCCGGGTTCGGGAGAACCGTGATCGGTTCCAACCCGAAAAAGTCCGAATCAATCTCGGAAAATTCCGGACCGCTCCGGGAAAAACGCCTACTTTTTTCTTATTTTTTTATTCAGTCACAAACACCTGTTTCAAGCTACGTGTTTCGTTTTTTGTTCTTGAATTTTTCTTGTAACCCTTTGATTTTTTAATACAATTATAATTAATAATTTTTGTGCATTTCTATTTAGTTATATATTTGTTTGCCATGAATGCAATTCTCAAATTGGAAATTGTACATTCGAATAATCTGCTTTCATTATTAGGTTAGATGTAATTTTCATAAATTTCTAACTAAATAATTATGAACTTTTTCATGAAACAATACACTTCTTTAATTACTTTGTAGCATAATTAACTTCCCGAAGGAGAAGTTTATGTTTTCATCAAAAAATCCGAATTGCTAATTTTATGTTTTCTCGACGTTTCAAGCCATTCTGAATCGAATGAGACCAACTTTGGAAAAAGTATGTGTGTGTAAAGATATTAGTTGGGAATGGTACTGATTAATTTTAGGTGAAAATCTACCGAGCCGTTTTCTTGTAATTAACTGTTGAAAAAAAGTGTTAAACTTTTCGTCCACATTTAAGCTCATCCTACCCAACCGATTTTAAAAAATCAAAAACTGTTCGAAAGATATTAGTTGGGAATGGTACTGATTAGTTTTAGGTGAAAATCTACCGAGCCGTTTTCTTGTAATTAACTGTTGAAAAAAGTGTTAAACTTTTCGTCCACATTTAAGCTCATCCTACCCAACCGATTTTAAAAAATCAAAAACTGTTCGAAAGATATTAGTTGGGAATGGTACTGATTAATTTTAGGTGAAAATGTACCGAGCCGTTTTTTTGTAATTAACTGTTGAAAAAAAAGTTTAAGCCGTTTTTCATGGAACTTGTTTTGGCGATATATATCATGGTCTCATAGAACTTACTGTAATATTACGGCCTTACGACAAGTCGTTTAATTTTAAAAATTCGTCAAACTTTGCTAAATTTATTATCGTTAAAGTAGGATTGATGAAGTATATTATTTACACTTTTTTTTTAGTTTTAGTTTTCAGTTTCTCAATTAAAGCTTTCGATATCCATAGCAAGAGGCGGTTTAGTTTGATCAGGAGAATTTAAAAAACTGGCTGCATATAGTACTAAAAAAAATAATATTTTATTAAAAGTATTGTAACAAAACGCCTTAGTTTAATTGAAATAAATAGTTTGTTTCATAAAAAGTAAGTTAATTTCTAAGTTGCTACCTTCATAGAAATATAAAAATTTCATACTTTGCTAACAGATTTATTTTCTACCTAAGCTCTTCCCATTATGTAATTCGACTCTTGCAGTCAGAAGATGGTACCTTATGATCCTAATATTAGTAAATGTACTAATATATATATATATATATATATATATATATATATATATATATATATATATATGTTAAAGAAGTTAGTTTTTATGTTGAGAAATATGAGTAAGTTCTTCAAGAGCATACATCAAATAAAAGGCAAAGATTTAGAAGTTAATCTTTAATTTTTTCAAACGTTTCGACTTGGTATTTTATGTCATCATCAGTGGATCTACAGAATGAATATTGAAAAATTAATATAAACTAGGGAAAAATTGACAGAAATTGGAAAAAGAACTATAGATATAAGTAATATAATTATAACAATAAGAATTATACTTAACAGCTAGATAAACAAGAGAAATGAAAAGTAAAAAAAAATATATACAAACATACAAAAGCGTATTATATATACATAAATATACACACAAACAAACATGTATATATGATATACATGTACAAACACGTACACATATACATATATACTTACGAATAATTCGTATATATAAACATATAGATACGGACATGTACATATGTATATATACACACATATATATATATATATATATATATATATATATATATCTCGGGGGTGAATCCCAACTCCTACCGAGCGCGTCCCCAGGTGGCGGATCGGGGAACGTCCTAACCAGCCTTCGGGCTGCCGGATAGAGGTGAAATAAAATAGCCTCCGCGGACCAAAATGAGGTATGAAGGGGAAGTCACTTTACCTTGACTTTAACCCGTGATCGTTTCCTGCTGCTACCCACTGGGAGTGCCTGCGCCCTTGTGTTAATATTTCCGATAACCTGGGTTACGGCTGATGTGAGCTTGCTCTGCCGAGGTGTAAGTAGCAGCAGTGAATCAGGAGCCAGCCACTTCGGGCTTTGATCAGGAAGTACGCAGTGAGTGCAGAGGTCGGAATCTGCACCGCCCCGGGCGAGTCTGGTCCGTCCGTGTTTTCCGGGACATGGCTAAGTTTTGACTGGGCCTCAGGGAACTGGGGTAGAAGTATCATCTTCGAGGGTACACCCGCTCCCAGTTAAAACAACCCGCCCCTCTGCGTACGATGCGCTGGTACTTTTAATAGCATGGAATTAAATACGGAAAAATTCACAAAAACTGCCACTATGGAAGTGGATACACACGAAACTGACGAGGGTCTGCCAGTGCGCACAAACCGAGGCAGACTTCATTCAGCTCCGATTGGTAGCGGTCGCCCATCTCCCGTTGAACGCTTGGGTGAAAAGATTCATGAACTGCTAGATTTCATCCAAAAGAAGACAAATGTTCACGGTGACATAAGACGTCTAGCAGGTTCAATTAATACGGCGTACAACCTGGCACTGAGTGATCTCTCTACCACGCTCGAAAAACCAATGGAACGAGTTGCGACGACGACTCAAACATCACCATGGATGGCGACAACTGCGCCGC